TGCACCAAACCAGAAGTCCTTCTTCAGCCCGTATCTGCACTCTGGATTGACCTGCAAAGCCCCGAGGTGGATCCTCGGGGTAGACACTCCGATGCTTAAGTCAGCAATAATCGGGGCTACCTTTAAAGCGTAGACACAAGGAGCTTAGGGTTGGTTTCAATTACCTTTTGGCGTGGCCCTTAAGGGGTATTTATATGTTCCGATGCAGAATCCACGCGGCATGCCAATCAAGATGCCAAGCAAGATATCCGGGATCCGATGTGTATCTCCAGGCAGTTATTTCGGGACCGGAAGATTGAGCCAAGCAAAATATCCGGGATTTGATATGTATCTCCCAGCAGTTATTTTGGGACCGGGAGATTGAGATATATCTAGATACAAGGATGTCCCTCGTAACTGCCGTGTAGCTATTCTAGCGGGAAGCTCTGGACTTACCCTTACACTATTCCCCCCCCGGAAGTCATTCACTTGTGAATGATGTTGGTGGAAGTAATAGGGGTAGTGCATAAATAGAAAGAAAGAGAAATTAAGATGAGCTACGGAAATAAAAATCCATGACTTCTCCTGAATAGATGATCATAGTCGAAGTAAGATGAGTGACACTGGGTTACTGTGGCCGTAGCCGAAGTGAAGCATGGGACGCTGAGTCACTGTGACCGTAGTCGAAGTAAAGTGAGTGACGCTGGGTCACAGTGGCCGAAGCCGAAGTAAAATGAGTGACGCTGGGTCACTGTGGCCGGAGCCGAAGTAAAATGAGTGACGCTGGGTCACTGTGGCCGGAGCCGAAGTAAAATGAGTGACGCTGGGTCACTGTGGCCGGAGTCGAAGTAAAATGAGTGACGCTGGGTCACAGTGGCCGGAGCCGAAGTAAAATGAGTGACACTGGGTCACTGTGGCCGGAGCCGAAGTAAAATGAGTGACACTGGGTCACTGTGGCCGGAGCCGAAGTAAAATGAGTGACACTGGGTCACTGTGGCCGAAGCCGAAGTAAAATACTTGTTAAAATTTAAAATGTACAAAAGTGGAAAGGAGTGTTGAAATGGGCTTAAATGGGCCCGTCTGAGAGGTCTGCCTAAGACGCGGCACGTGACGTGACAGCTGTCCTTTGAATGACGTGCGTAATAAATGCCGCTGTAAAAAAGATAACTGCAACAGTCCAACGGGCAGATTTGAAAAGCGAACCGTCGAATTCGAAACGGTGTCGTTTAATAGTTAACCGTCGAATTCGAAACGGTGTCTCTGCAGCCATTAGATTGAGTTAATCACAGCCGTTGGGGCGTATTTTGCCTTTGGTATAAAAGGCTACACTTTTGTAAAGGGGACTTTTTTACTCTCGTTATTTTGCGACTAAATTTTTGCTAAATTTCTCCTAAATTTCTGCGGTTTTCATGCGGTTTGCGCTTCGATCACGACTTCCACAACAGTTTCCAAGATCAAAATCAGGTAAAATTTACAAATTTTTTGCTTTGATTTTATCGAAGTGGTGTTCTCCTTTCTCCCTTTCTGTGGTTGATTTTGGGTTTTTTGGAGGGAATTTGGGAGTGAGAATGTGTTGAATGTGTTGGAATTGTTAAGGGTCCTGACATCGTTCCCCCCCCCCTTTGTGCAGAAATTAAGATGTCTTCAGAAGAGACCCGGAGTGCAGTGGGGAGTGAAGTGATGCCCCTGGGTTATTGTAGTATGGATACAGAGAGCAGCCCGTCTCCAACTAGTTCGGAGAGGACGGTGGAGGAGAGGAAAGATGAAGTAGTAGTAGAGGAGGAGGAAGAGGAGATCCCCTCGAACATTTTGGAATCTGGGGTTGGCGTAGATGGGTGCTACGACCCAGACTTAGAGGTAGTTTCCAAGGTGAGAGGGTATGTGAGTGAACTAGGGAGTATAAGTAGCCTTAGGGGGTTAGTAGGGAACTGCAACCTTCCTCACCATATCCTACTCAGACCTGCCGGGGTGAATGAGAGGGCATGCTCAGCACCCCGAGACCATTGGATGCCCATATACCTGCATTATTTGATTGCAGGGCTTAGGTTCCCCATTCCAGAATTACTGGTAGGGCTCTTATTAGAGTATAGTATAGGAATAACCCAATTAACCCCAAATGCCATAAGGGTAATAATAGGCTTTCTTGTATACTGCAGAGTTCGGGGGGTTGGGGTCCCCACAGTAAATATGTTTAAACATTTTTTTATAATTAAGGCTGGGGGTAGGGGGGAGAAGGGATGGTACTACTTCGGCCCTCAGTCGTCCAGTAAAGGGAATAGGACTTTATTCTCTGCTGGACCGTCATCCATCAAAGGGTGGAAAGAAAAATTCTTCTTTGTGGATGACACCGAGTGGAGTAGGAGGGATGCCGAAGTGGAACAGTTGTCTGCTTGGAAAGCTAAGAAAACCAAGCAGAACAACTATAAATTAAATGAGGATGAGGTGGAGGAGGTGGAGAAGCTGGTGAGGGAGGACGGAGACGTGGTGGACATCCTATACCTCACCAGTCCGCAGGCAATAGAGGCTGCTGAGCTCTATGGGCCAAGCTCATTGAGCGAAAGTCTGTGTATGGTTACATTGTGCTATGTTAGGTAGATCTTAGTTTATGCGTTTTGACCTTTGTGTTTGTTTTGCAGCTGAGATGGAGGAGTTTACAAATGCTGCTGAGGGGCTGCGCATCCCAAAGAAGCCAAGGAAGAAGTCAACGACTTCAGCTGCGGCGAACAGAGAGGTGCCCGAGAGAGAGTGCTTGCCCAGCACTTCTGCCCGGGCCGTGGAGGTGCAGCCAAGGCCGGAGCCTATGATGGGGGGTAGCGAGGATGCAAGTGAGGAGATGGCACCTCTCCAGAGGAAGAAGAGGAGGGTGGCAGAGCTAGAAACCAGGGGGGACGAGGTGGTGGAGTTCGTGCTCCGGCCTTCTCCTCCAGAAATCAATCCTGAAGACAGGGAGAGAGGAGAGGTCGAAGTGCGAGGCCTTGATGGGGGCAGGGAGCGCACCCCTCCGCACGTGTACCAGAAAAGTTTGTTTGAGGCGACAAACAAGACTGGGACGAAGCACTTCCTCAACGCTACCCTTCCTGAGGTGGATAGGATGCGGGCGAAGGACGAGGTGGTTAGCCATGCAGGGTATACCGTTGTGAGGCATGCCCTGGAGGTATGCGAAATAATTAGATTTTACTCCGGTTGTATGTTTGAGTTGTCTGTCCTGTGCCTGATGTCTGACTTCTGATTGCATTGTAGAGTGCAAGCTGGACAAACGCTCTAGCGCAGGAGTATGCAGAGAGCGTTAGAGATCGTGCCAGCTTGCAAAGGCAGTGCGACCAGCTTCAGAGGGAGAAGGATGAGCTGCAGAGGGAGAAGGTGGAATGGGAGAAGCAGAAGAGGGAGATGCAGAGAAGGCTGGATGAAGTTCTCCCTTCAGTGACCGAGCTCCAGAACGAGAATGATGTCCTGAGCACGAAGCTTGGCCTCGAAGAACGTAAGAGGAAGATCTGTGAGGAGAAGCTCGAGGCTCAGGACAAATATATGGACAAGATGAGGAAAGGAGCTGCGGAGCTGAAGAAAAACGTGAACCTGTTGGTTCACAACGAGATGGAGGAGCACATTGGCAACTTCCTCAACTCCAGCACCTTCGAGGACATCCTCAAACTCTACCGGCTGCCAACCGCAATCGTGGCCTTCACCGACTG